TACAAGGATCTAAGACATCTCCAAAGCCTCATGATGGAAAATGCTATCTACATCCAAAGAAAGAACTATGGAGTTTGAATGCAGATCAAAGCATGCTATTTGCTATTTTTTTCTTCTGTTGAGTTTCGTTTCCTCTTTCTGGTGGTTCCTCCTATTGGTTCTAATTCTTACTTACAACATCAGGAATATGAAAATATGTTTAATAGGAATGTAATTTTTTTTTCTTAGAAGGGATGGATTCCTGGAAAGGTGACCAGGGGAGGTATAAATCCAGAAATGAAGGTAATATGAAAATGAAAGATAGCAATACAAATTTAAAATAAGTAAATGTAATTGAATTATAAATGTAGCATAATGTCTTAGAATATCTTAGTTTGTTAGAAGGTGGATCTCCATTCACTGTATAGCTTTGCATTTCCTTTAATCTACATAATACAACTTAGTATCATGCATTTATACACATGGTTTTTCTACATAGACTTGTAGGAGATGTGCTGCTGTGTACTGGTTTCCTATCCTACCTTGGTCCTTTCAATCAGACCTTCAGGACCCTTTTGCTTAAAGAACAATGGGAAGTAGAGCTGAGAATTCGGAAAATTCCATTCACTGAAAACTTAAACTTGATTTCCATGTTGGTGGATCCTCCAACAGTAAGTTTTAATATACTCATTTTCTCTTTTAGATTTCAATTAATTTCTTAGGTTTTTATCTCATAGAATTGAGAATATAATAGTAACGTACTGCTTATAATTTTATAGCACTTCATGGTTACAAAGTGCTTTTACATACATCATCCTATTTGACCTTCACAATAGCCTGTGAGATAGACAATGCATATATTAACAACCCCCATCTTCATGTCTTTGCATGTGGCACAGGCCATTTCCCATACTTGGAATGCCTTTCCTCCTCATCTCTATCTCAAAGAACTACTCTCATTCTCAAAAAACAACTCAAATATCATCTTCTATGTCAAGTCTTTCCTGCTCTCCTCAAATGCAAGTGTCCTCCCTCCTTATCTGCCTGGTGGTATTTAACTTTATTGTACTCATTTGTTTTTATTCTCTTCATATTTATTTTGTATATACTTATTTTTACATATGTATATCTATTTTTGTGTGTGTGTATTTGTCTCCTAGCTAGAAAATAAGCTTGAGAATTGGGACTGCTTCATTCATTTTATTTTTGTCCCCAGGGCCTAGCACTGTCAAGGCACCACCATCCTTTCAGTCACTTAGGTTCACATCCCTAGAATTCATCCTCAACTCTTCACTCTCCCTCATCCCCTTTATCAAATCGGCTTCTGGTGATCTAGTGTTACTAAATATTTTACATCTATTAGCTTCCCTACACTTACTTGGCTATCCAATTCCCCCCATTTAAGGCTCTCATCTCCACTCCCTTGTAGCTTTCGTACTAGGGACGAAACCTCTCAGAGAATTAGTTGTCAGTTGTCCCATTTGGATAAAAAAAAGATTTTTCCATAGTCTTTAGCATCCAGAGTTACACTGCTTGTCAGTGTAATTCAGGAAGCTTGAGAGTTCTCTGTGAGCACTCTGTGCTAGGTGTAATAGTCCAAACTCCTCACCTTTCATTGCTCTTCTTCCTATATTGCTAGCCCTTTAGTCCTGGAGCAAAATCTATTGGTCTTTTCCAAAGGGAAAAGCACTTTCTACCTGCTATCAGAGGTATTCAAAAGCAAATGGCATATAGTAAGGTGAGCAAACTGTTCGCACTTCATCATCATCATCATCATCTCTCTGCAATTTCCTGGGAAAACTCATGCAGTCTGCCACAACTTCTGCACAGATATCTCTTTCAGTTGGTAGGGAATCAGGGGAAAGCATAGCTACATACTTCCTACTATACTTCCTTGAGGTAAGACGTAATTAGGTGCTTTGTTTCCTGCCTCTACATCCTCTAACTTTTACAGATAATGCCTTTTTCCTCTAGGTTTAGCTTTATCTCCTGATTCTGAGAACAGTCCTGTCCCTAGGCAGGATGAACATGAGGAGCCCAGGTCAGTAGCTGACCAGCTTAGCGTCAAATCTGTCTCTTTTTATGGCTCCTGTTCTGATCTTGGCACTCAGGAGTCCTCTACTGTCCCTGCCTTCAGGGTCCCTGAATTTTGTTCCCAAATGCCTCTTGCTAGACCTACAAGATACTAATTAGCTACCTGCCTAGACCTCTGCCATTTGCTTATCATTTGTATCTGTTGAGTTTTTGCCCCACCTTACTTGAAGAGACAACACACCCTGGATTTTAAAATTGGTTTGGTCTGTTGACTAATGCCTTGAATAATCAAACTCTACTCTCACTCCATTATGTTAATACTTAGCCTTTGCTAGATGCTAAAGGACTACATGATCTATCAAGCATCTTGATTTTGTCTAGTCTGGCCTACACTGCTCCTTCTTGCATCTTAGTTCTGAGAAACAACGTTGGGGAACAGCTCCAACTATATTCCTTCTCTTTGTCTAGTCTTACATCCATAAAGTAGAAACAACAAGAGATATGGAAGCTGGTAGAAGAATGTGTTTGCCTTTAGAAATGTTTATTTTGTCAGCAGATTTTCAGAAATGCATCTATTCTTAGAAGTGACACTCATAATGTGCCAGCTAGTCCCTTAGTACCTTGAAAGAGTAGATTAAACTCTCAGAAGACCTAACTTCCTTCAAGGAGAATGTTTTTGCACTGGAAAGATCAGGCTCAATATATACTCAAATTCCTTCATTTTGCCATAAGATAAAGATATTGTCATCATCATACCACAATGTCTTCTTTAAGGGCCTAATTGATAGAGCAGATTTGAAATGTGAGAATACTCTGGGGAAAGATAAAATGTTATTCTGTGGTATTTGAGAAAAGGATCTTGCAATTACTGTTTTTGAAAAAAAATCATGTTTTTCAGTTCATATTTACAGATTGACTTTTTTCAAAGCACCAAATGTAATAGTTCATAAGAGAGAAAATTCATTGGATTATTCTGCTTTTTAAAAAGCCTTTAAAATTGATAGTTATTTTTTATTACTAGCAATAATTTTGCAATATTACCCATATGCCCTAGTAATTTGATCCAGTTAAAACTAACTGCTGGAACCTAGGCTAATGTTCTGTTTTCTTGGATGTAGATTGGTGAATGGGGACTGCAGGGACTGCCTGGAGATGACCTCTCAATTCAAAATGGCATCATTGTAACTAAAGCGACTCGATATCCACTGCTGATAGACCCACAGACTCAAGGCAAAACTTGGATTAAATCGAAAGAAAAAGACTTTGATTTACAGGTAGGGTTCTAGAAAATGGAATGTTGATTTTCCCCAAGAATCTAGACTTTTTATTGACTATACCTTCCCCAGAGCTGCCACCTTCAACAGTTTCAGCACTCAAGAGATAAATCTTTTCTTGTATTACCTTTGTGTAGTACTTCATTGGTTTCCAAGTACTCACACACATGATTTAATTTGAGCCTTATGATAACTCTGGGAAATAGGACAGGTTTGTTATTTCTGTTTTACAGAGCCTATAGAGGAAACTGAGGCTCAGAGAACTTGTCAGTGCTCTTACCTGCCTGGCTTCCCAGGGAGGAGAGACCATCCAAGTACTTTTACCCAAGAAGGATAAGAGCAAAGAGATGCAGTCGTCAGCAGGGCTGTTCCTTTTCTCAAAGGAAGAGGTACACTGGGAGCCAGCAATTGGACTCCATCTTTCGCTGAGTAGCATCTCCTCTTCACTGGCCACATCATTTTCACAGAGTTAATATCCAGCCTAGACCCTAACTGGCACCATGACATTTAGGAAGAGAATAAGGATCAAGTGAATGAAACAAGAGAAGGCACATTAAGAAAAATATTAAAAATATTAAAAGTTACCTAGCTTTTGCAAAGATTGAACTGTGATGTCAACTTCATTAATGTGTTCTAGATAACTGAATGATAATATTATTATTATCATCATTTATATAGCACTTTAAGGTTTGCATAGTGCTTTGCATATGGTATCTCATTTGTTTTTCACAATATACCTGTGAAGTAGGTACTATTAGTATCCTCATTTTACAGATGAAAAGACTGGGGCTGGGAGAGTTTGAGGGACTTGTCCAGGGTAACAAAGCTAGTAAGTGTCTGAGACCATATCTGAACTCAGGTCTTCCTAATTCTACCTTCAGCACTCTTATCAACCACAACATATAGCTGTCCCAAACAGCCAGTATTAACAAACATTAGCCTGATTTCAGGTGATGCCCCAATCATTTTGGGTTCATATCCTCCTGTAGGGCTTTGAATTTTTAAAGCTAACTTAGTAATGTTTGTAAAGGTAGCCATTGTACTCTCATAAAATACCCACGGGGCCTAGCCAACAGTGTCTCTTCCCTGGTTCAACAAGGAGAGATAGCATTTGGACGTAGCACCCTCCACTCAGCTATCAAAGTGATCATCTCAAAGATTAGGTCTGACCATGTCAACCCCTGCCCCGCACACACAATAAACTCCAGTGGTTCCCTGTTGTCTCCAGAATCCCATATAAACTGTTCTGTTTGGCATTCAAAGCCCTTAATAACCTGGCCCCTGCCTACCTTTCCAGTATTCGTACGTGCCCCCTTCCCTGCACCTCACATGTCCATCGAACTCTACCACCTAATGACACTGCTCTCCTTGCTTTTCCTTGGACATCTGACTCCAGGCACTTTCACAAACTCTTCCACGCCTGGGATACTCTTCTTCCTCATCTCTGCCTCCTGGCCTCCCTAGCTTCCTTCAAATCTCAGCTAAACTCCCACCTGCTATAGCAAACCTTTCCTTATCTTTCTCAATTTTAGTGCCTTCCCTCCATTGGTTATTTCCAGTTCGTCCCAGATATGGCTTGTATGTTGTGTCCCATTTGACTGTGACTTCTTTGAGAACAAGGACTATCTTTTCCTTTTTTGTATCCTCCTTGTTTAACACAGTGCCTGGCACATAGTAGGCACTTAATATTTATTGACTAACTTAGACACTCACCACAGCTGTTGCCTTGCTGGAAACCCCAAAGTGGAGAGTTCTCAAGGTAGAGAAATTGGTGGTAAGACCTCCTAGATAGAGAAAGGCATTTCCTGAAGTAGTATATTCCTTGGAGAAAGAAGAGGTTTGCCCACACGGTTCTTGAGCAGTATATTCGTTCCTTAGAAAGTGAAGCCAGTAAGTTATTTAGACAATGCAAACCCCAGTGTAAAGAGTAGTTTGTTCAGCAACCTCAAAATGCATTTCCCTTCTGTGGGGAATCCATACTATAGGGTAATACCATGAGTCTTGGAGGGAGTGTATAATGACCCTGTAGGAGGGCTAGGAATCCTCCAGAGATTTGCCACAACAGGAACCTCGAGTTCATTTCCCTTCCAATGGAACTAATGGTCTATTTAAGAGCTTTATGTATCTGTTCATGGATTCTTTTGAGTCCTTTCTTTCTTCTTCATTCTCCATATGATGAAATAAAGGCAGTGGAGATGGTGTCTTGGCACTGAATATCCTAATGTCAAATCTATCATAGAAGTCTCAGACCAGAACCACTGGCAGTCCCTCACTTCATTAGGATCACAGCAACTGAGAACGGGCTGATTTTTGCTACCTTTGAGTACCTGTAAAGTCCAAGGTACTGTTCTGTACCATATGCAACCAAATAGTTATCACGAGGCCCAACATTGCACCTACAATAGGAAGGAATATGGCTTCATCCTGCCTTCTGTGGATTTTAAGGAAGCTATGACATTCTCATTGTTTCTGCAAAAACGCAACTCACCACCTTTTGTAAATTGCATTCCATGTTTCCTTTCAACAAACAAATATTTATTTAAGCACTATAGCCTCTCTAGATTACTTTCTTAGCAAATTGTGTGTTTCTAAATGCAGATTTATTTTCCTAACAAATCATTTGGTTTTCACTTAAGATTTGGTATAAGTTCTTATGCTGTTTTTCTATTAATGAATAATTTATTTTAAGGTGACATCTCTGAATCATAAATATTTCCGAACACACTTAGAGGACGCCCTTTCATTGGGACGACCCTTACTCATTGAGGATATACGTGAAGAGCTGGATCCGGCTTTGGATAATGTATTAGAAAAGAATTTCATTAAAGCAGGAACCACTTTCAAGGTTAGTTCCTAAGAAAGAACAATGGTGACATCTACTTCTCTTTCAGAGTATAGCAATGAAAAAAAAAGCCTTTTCTCTCATATTTGGGTACAGAATACATTTAAAATGTGCATGTTTTAAATTGGTGTTCAGTAGTTCCTATTATTCAAATGGTCATATTACAGGTAAACTTGGAGCCTCACACATAGTAGATATTTGATAAATGTTTGTTGAATTAAAAATTCAAACCTACCAGTTACAGTTAGGTTGTTGTTTTGGGTAGTCTGATTAAGAGGGAGAAAAATGAGTATGTGTTGTTATATAGGGTATTTGAGTAGAGGAAAGACAATGTATTCTGAAATTCCTTTGAAAATTGTGAGCATTTGATGGAGGTATTTAGACTGGAGCTTTTGAAAACATGTTGTGTCATGGTCTTCATGAACTTCCTTCATCACTTCCCCTAGGGAACACTGGAGCTTTGGGGGGTTAAGAGAGGATATGGGTAGAGGGCAGGAGGTGGGGGGAACAGATATATTCTCCTTCTGGGCATATTGAATTCTTTTTTTTTCTTTTAGTTTTATGGTGGCTTTCTTGCCTTCTACTACAACGCTGTTCTCATACAGCAGCGTGATCTAATTTGAATGTGTACACCACCCACCGTAGGTTTCCTAGACAGCTGCCTTTTCAGCTAGGCTGCCACCACATATAGAAGGAATATGTTTCAGGATTGTGTACAGAATCATCAGTATCCAAATACACTTTCAAAATATGAATGTTAATTAGAAAATATGTAATGGTAAGAACTAAAAGGTTGTTTTCATAGGCTCTAATTAAGTACAAAGTTAGATTTCTTCCCTTAAGAGGAATAAATCTAGATTTTATCTACAGAAAGTGATTTGTTTTTTTCCTTTACATTAATGTTTTATTTGAGCATGCTTCTATGTCAGAAGCTATGGAATATTGTTCCAGATCACTGGTGATAATGTGAATTATTCACCAATAAGATGTTGCATTTGTTATTGTTCATGCTATTCTATAACCTTCATGATTTGAGGTTATTTTAACTAAAATGGATATGTCTCTGGGCATCAGTTTCCTTATCTGCAAAATGAGGGCAGTGAACAACCTCTGCCATGAATCCATGCTTGAGTCCTTTAATGTCCAATGGCTTAATTTTAGGTATATCAGTGGTTAAAAAAAGTTCACGGGTTTCCTCATTAAAAAGAAAGGTGTATTTATTCAAGAAAAAATCTACCACGTTGTGGGAATGCTTTTCACGTGCCGAAGGGGGCTGTGGGATTGTCTTCTCTGGAGATCTTTTAAAAATTGGCCGGTTCTCAGTTGCTTTGGATGTGTTGGCTGTGATCCTAATGAAGTGAGGGAGCTACCAGTGGTTCTGGTCTGAGTTTTCTATGATAGATTTGACATTAGGATATTCAGTGCTGAGACACCATTTCATCATTGGAAACAGTAATTCCCATCTGAGGAAACATAGTGTAATGGAAAGCATGCTATACCTAGAAAGAAAATTAACTGAATTCACATCCCAACTCAAATATTTACTGGCTGTGTAACCACTAACAAGTCATTTAACTTTTATAAAAACTTCGTTTTCTCATCTGAAAAATGGAAATAATAATCATTATACTACCTACCTCATAATGTTGTGAAGTGAGTGTTTCAAGTGTAGTTTGAATCAGGAGTGCTTAACCTTTTTCTGTACTGTGGACACTTTTAGTATTCTGGTAAAGCCATTGACCTTTTCATAGCATATTTTTAAATAGATGAAATAAAATACATATGTAACAGTAAGTACTTTGACTCTCTTATTGCCAAAAAGCCAGGTGTGTTATATTTTACTCCTTACCCCAGGGTTCTATAGAACCCTGGTATCCTTAAGGGAGTAAGGGAGTGTCTAAGTTCTCTGCCATTGGCTTAAGCTTCTGATGATGGTGTTCCCTCAGTATATGGGAGTTCCCTATAGCCCAAGTTCCATTTAATTACTAATAGTCAAATCTGCTTTTACAAAAGAATATTTACTTCAAAGGTAAAATAACAAATATACAAACATACTTCTCAAAACATTGAGACTTGGAGCATTTTTCCCTACCCTGTTCCCACAGTCACTACCTTTTACTCTGGATATGAGGAGTGGATTAGGTTCACAGCTTTGCTCATGTTCTCTATAATCTAGTCCCAAGTTCCAAGTCCAAGGACCCCTTGGGCTCATGTCCAAGTTAACCTGGCTACTTGGGGGCTTCCTGATGGGGCTGGCTACACATCCAGCCTGGAATCCTGGCTCCAAGGTCACCATAGATTGGTTCTAGATCTAGTGGGGATTCTACCTCTTGCACCTAGAAGTAAAGGGAGCAAATTAAACAGAACATACAGAAACCCCAGTCCCTGGCCTAAAAAGGGGAAGGGTAACTTCCCCCAAACTCAGTTAGTTTTCATGGTATCAGTGAACCTTCACCCTGTCTGGACATCAGGCAGAGAAGAGCTTTTAAGCCTGTTCTGGCTATGCAGCCAATCGAAAGAGGCTACTCCCCAGTTGTGATAGGAAAACACAGGGTGCCTTCTTCCAGAAGCCTCCCTAGTACCTTCAAATGTCAGGTGATCTAAGGATGCTCTAAAGCTCCTCTTACACATAGGAAGAAAAAAAATCAATTATATTGAAATAAAGAGGTAATTTTAACCATTTAAGTTCATAAACACTCTGGAAGCTATCCACAGATACTATCATACTTGTTTGTCATACCAAAGTATAGCTCTGTCCTCTGATTTGCTTCATTCACTAACAATTTCACTTCAGATTTATTCCCAGGGAAGACTTAAAGAGAGCTTCTGGTTCCTTCTCTTGTCTTCAAGGAGGACTATGCCTAAAACCTCCTGAATTAATAACTGTCCCAATATTAATGACCTCCAGAAATAAAGATTCTGTATAGTCTAGTTTAACAACACTTATGGTTAGTAAATTCTTTCCTGAATTGAATCTAAATCCTTCATGTTCTTATTTGATAAAGGTCAAAGTTGGTGACAAAGAATGTGAAGTCATGGATTCATTTAAACTTTATATTACAACCAAGCTACCAAACCCCGCATTCACACCTGAGATTAATGCTAAAACATCAGTCATTGATTTTACCGTTACAATGAAAGGACTCGAGAATCAGTTACTGAGAAGAGTGATTCTTACAGAGAAACAGGTAATCAATCTCTTGTTAAAAACATCCGCTTGTAATCAAATGGATGTATTTGGAAGAAAATACACTGAAAAGCTAAATATATAGAAAAGCAAAAAGTATTTTAAGTCAAACCTTATTGCCTACTGTCATTTAGAAATATTTCTCTTCCAATCTCTATATCAGCTAAACAGACTTTCCATTTACCTCTGCTACTTTCTTCTGCATAACACCCTCCCACTGTTTGTATAGGTTGGCTCCAGTGCCTGGGACATCCTTATTCAGATGAATTCCTCCATGGCATCTAGTACCTTCACCATAACAGGATCCTTGGGGAAAAATTTGCTTTTGAATTGGTCTTATAGCCATCTTTGTAGGTTCCATTTCCATTTTTTCATGTAGGATACATAATAGTACATGTATCTAATGATACAGGTATGTCTGCCCCTTAGTTTAAATAAATGGAATTTAGGTCAGACCTGGAAACCTTTTTCATCTCAAGTGTCACTGACCCACAAGGAAAAAAAACAGTTGAAGACTACAATGAAGTAAAAATCAAATTCATAGAAGCAGGATTAAATTCTTTTTGTTTTTTTAGAATCAGTAGAGGAAGGGGAAGGGAAAAGAAAAAGAAGAAAGAAAGGGAGATAAAGGAGAAAGGAGGAGGGAGGCGGAATAAATAATCACATAAAGGAAAAGAAAGATGTAAAGAGTTTTGAACTATAGAGAGGTAAAAGAGACAGGTAACAAGCAGAAAGACAGAAGAAGAGGATCAGTAAATTTTTAAATGGTCAACAGGTTGGTTTAAAAAAAAAAAGAACTTCACTAGTTTTAGGAGCTGGTTAGCTCTCTTGGAGGTAGGAGTCTGAAAAGTGGGTGCCATAAGAGAAAGAACACTGGACCGGAGTCCAAACAGGATCCAAAGGCCCAAGTCCTTGTTCCCACTCTGCTCCTCACTGGTTGTATGACACAGGCAAAGCAGTGCACCTTGGTTTCCTTATCCATGAGATGATAGGAGTAGATTAGAATGTTGATACGTTATATTCAAGCTCTAAAATTGTATGATTTTGCATCAGGACATTCTACAAAATATAATATGAAAACTTCATATTGATTAATAAAAGCCTGTCTTGTTTACTGGCCATATTTTAACTGCTAAAAATGGGAGAAAACCTGCTCAATGAATTAGAAAGTAACATTAAAAACAAGAATGAAGGGAATAATTCTAGTTTGCAATTTATATCCTCAGCCTTGCATCTCAGAGACTTAGCTCAATTAAAAAAAAAAAACAAATTTAACATCAGCATCACTTACATGAGACGCACCATAGTGTAATAGAAAGAGAGCTGACCTTGGCATCAGAAAGACCTGGGTTCAAATTCTGTGTCACACATCCTAGCTGTGTGACCCTGGCCTGGGCTCTTGCCCTAGTGACCCTAGTGCTGTAGGCTACCCAGTGCTCTAAACTGTAAGTTGTAGAAATATGCTTTTCTACACTGGGAGAAGAAGGTCCTCCCTGGGAGTTCTCTACATCAGTGAAATCACAGGTCCATACTGTATCCCATGGTTTCACTGACATCATAAAAGAATGTAGGACTTATCACTGACTCAGGAAAAAACAAAGGATAAAAATTATTTATGATCTGGGTCAGCCCTGTCATGGGAAAATAAAGTCAAAACTACTAGGTAGCCCCAGACTAAATATTGTAAATTATATAGGCATCATCTCTGATCTTCTGATCTTCATCACTAAATACGTATTGTGCATCAGCTTTATTTATAGTGTTCTGCTAGACACTGCAGAACAACATATGGCACAGTGTAATGGGGGAAAAAGCCCAAACACTTAACTAGGAGTAAGACCTTGATTTTAGTCTCAGCTCTGCCACTAAATAGCTGTAACTTTGAGCAAGTTACAGCCACTCTGGGCTTCGTCTATTAAATGAGGAAGTTAATGAGGCTCCCTCCAGCTCTAAGATTCTTGGATGTGTGATGCTTTTTTCTCACCCTGCTTTTCATTCTTGGATTTTGAGCTCCATTATGTTAGCATTGACCTTTGAGATTCTAATTATCTAATTAACTATAACTCTTCAATGGCTCTTTATCCTCAAATCTTCTAAGACTCCATTCTAAGGGGGAGATAGCAGGTCACCCGAGGGCAAGTTATTCTCTGAGCTGAATAGGCGTGAGATGGAGCAGAAACGTCACAAGTTCCCCACTGTGGTTTAAAATTTACAAGATCGACAAAATAATGAGCTAATTCATTTTATATTTCCTGAAGCTTCGAAATTAGAGTTGTTCAGGGATTTCTGGAGCCACAGCCCCTCATTCCTTGTAGCATTTCTTGTGTTCATCCCTTTGTACTCCCTCTCTCTGCTACAGTCTTAATCTAAATAACCATATACAATAGAAAGAGCATCAGAGCAGGAGTCATAGATTCAGAGATTTAGAGCCAGAAAGGGCCTCCAAAGCTGTGGAGTCCAGTGCTCCCCTCTTCTTACAGATGTGCAAACCAAGGCGCAGGGAGGTTAAGTGACTTGTCCAAGGTCATAAAGCCAGTAAGCATCAGATCTGGGATCTTCCTGACTTCACTATGCCTCATTTCTTCTCAGTCAGGTCCAGGTCTAGGCCTGGGTCTACCACTTAGTACTTGGGTGACTTTGAACAAGTTACTTGCTGTATCTTTAGCTCAAGTCCTTCATCTGTAAAATGAGTGGGCTATGCCAAATGATCATCTCCATAGTCTGGTTCCTTCCTGCTCTAAACTCCTGTGATTCTGTGATACATCTAGACTATTAAAAGTCTTCGTGCTGACCTCCTCACATCCAGCCTCTCCCCTCTCCAGTCTGTTCTATAAAGAGAAGCAAATATCATCTGCCTTAGGTCCCATTCGATCATTTCCCTGTCCTGCTGAGAAATCTATAGTGGTTTTAATCACTTCCCCAGTTTGGGATTCAGTGACCCCCCTTTATCTGACTATCTTAATTTTTCATAATTAATTTGAACTCCTTACATCAATGAAGCAAACATTACATCCCCTAAATAAGATTTATCTGCTTCCTCTTCTGTATCTTTTCATGTTGTTTCACTCCCTAACATTCTCCTCTCAAAATACATCCTTCTACTCTTTTAAAAAAATTCTGCCTAGAAGTCCTTTCCCATGAAAACTTCTTTGACTAAGTTTCTCTGACTTTAGTTCCATTCCCTCTGACAGCCTTGTGAGCCTTTCAGTGTAAATAGTTCTATCCAGTTGTATTAATCTATTATTGAATCTGCATTTTCCCAAACATGATGTTATATTTGTGTCTATATTTGCTTTGCTTCTGTATTCTGTTGTGAGCTTCAGGAAGGAAGGCACTAAGTTTTCTATTTTTTTGTGTTATCTTCATAGTATATGTCACAGGGCTCTTTATATAGTACCAAGATTCTCAGTGAAATCATTGGCCAACTGAATGGATGACTGAATGAATCAAGGGTTAATCTGGGAAGGCTTTATGACAGGTTATGTTATGTAGCATTATTTAAGAGAATCTGAATCTAATAAGTGGGTGCTCATTTAAAGAGAACAGGAAAGAAGCCCATTGAAGTACACAAATGAAATAAAGTCTAGACAAAACAACATGTGAGACGTGATTTGTAGTTGTACTAGACAGAAGCCCAGAACGGATCAGGGCAAAGTTGAAGGTCAAAAGCCTCCTATTTGGCACCTTAGGCTCCTCACATCCAGAGAAACTTATGCCCAGGGTTAACCTTTGCCTAGGGACAAGGCAGCTCTGTGTGTGTGGGTAGAAGGCCTAAGTGAGCAAGGTCAAGGAAGGAAAAACCTGTGAGAAATGAATAGAGGCCCCTCAGCAAGAAAACCAGCTCAAGAAAGCTAGGGAAAACATTTGTCATACTTGACTCATACATCTCAGTGGGCACACAATGTCAAGCATTAGATGTGGGCAGTTCAGACGGATAAGGAGATAGATAGATTTGTTGATTATATTAATCATTCCTGCATTTATGAAACATACTTTAGTACATTTGGGTATTTGAAAATGTTGGTTGATGATAAGCATTAATAAGTCGGATTTACTATAAAATTAATGCAGCTTTTTTACAACTGTCCCACTTTTTGATGGTTAAAAATAGGAACTGGAGTCAGAGAGAATTAAACTTATGGAAGATGTTACTTTTAATAAGAGGAAGATGAAAGAACTAGAAGATAACCTGCTGTATAAACTAAGTGCAACAAAAGGTATTATCTTGTAATGGATTCAAAATAAACATTTCTTGTAAGATCTTTTCTCTACCCATGAAATGGTAACATTAAGGTTCTGGCCACTGAGGGTGCTGGAGAAGGGGCAATAAAACACACCTCCTTCCTAACAACAGACAGGTGAGGGTCTTATTAGAGGCAACTGGTGGCACAATGGATAGAGTGCCAGGTGCGGAGTCAGGAAGACCTGAGTTCCAGTCCAGCCTTAAACCCTGCCTAGCTGTGTGATCCTGGGCAAGTCACTCAATCTCTATTTGCCTCAGTTGTAAAATACGGATAAAAATAACACTTGTTTTGCAGGATTGTTGTGAAGCTCAAATGAGATGGTATTTGTAAATGCCCTTACCACAGTGCCTGGCACAGAGTAAGAATTATAATGTAAGTGTTTGTTCTCTTCCTACTAGGACAGACTGCTGTATACATTGTCAGATAGAGTCTCCGCATCACATATTTTTGCTTAATTGTTTTTCTTTGCCACAATGGCCTTTTTTTTTTAATCTGGAGATGAAGTGGGAAATGCATGATGTAAAAGCAAAAGATATCAATAAAACTTTTTTGAATAACAAAAATGAAAGAAAGGCTCAAGTTATATCTTTGCAGTGATAAGAAAAGCAGTTTCCATCTCAACATTGATAAGTGATGCTATGTAGGATCTTTTTAAATGAACAGAAATTAGACACTTGCAAGTAACACTTTTCTTGATTGAATTGTCATCTCCATCTCAGAGAAATAAGGAACCCAATGAATCTAGGTGTAAGGGGTGAGCCCATGAAGCATATTCTTTGGCTTTTTATACTCCTTCCGCTTCATAATCCTCTTAGTGGTGATACAGGTATCCTCCAAGAATTGCTAGAGTTGCAACAGTCATCTTATGCTGGCATTCCAGCAGCAAAATTGAGACACCCTAAAAGTCCTGAACTCAGTAGGTGGCCACCAAATTGTAAAAGTCCATCTTTTGGGATTGCTATTCAGTCACAAGCAGGGACTTGAATTCCCATCTTAACATGGTCCCCAGTGAGGAGATACATAAGAACCCACTGGGACCTCTGGTCAGGCATGGCCTTGAGCAAGGTGCCAAAGTCCTATCTATCTCCCATATAGTTAACATACATGCACCATGGTATCACCCCTCCCACATAGGTAATTAATAATTATCTAACTTGATTTCCCAAGAGAAACTAATCTGTCTACTTTCAATCTACAACTGTTACAAGAAGATTACACTGTGATTCTGAAAAAAAAAAAACCCCAACAGTACTGAGTTTATTTTATAATTATTTTGTCATTTATATCTGATTTTCTAGGGTATTCTCTTCAGCCTCCCTATGTTTCTGCATAGAACTTTATATGCATACATTTTACTGATAGGAGTAATTTTCTGCCACCATAAATTTGGGAACAGGCATGGAAGGAATCTCTTTTCCTCTTATGGCATTTGATAGTGCACTGTCTTCCCAAGTTCAAATCTAAATGTTCGTTCTTGTCTACCACAAAAATCAGTCCCAAGCTGGTTCATGACTTTTTTTTAACTTCTTGTTATCATGATTGATCTTTATTGAGCACTTATTAGCATAATGTACCTTGAGAGACTTTATCTCACTGAAAGAGTTAAAACAAACAGGCTTGTTATCTAGATGATTCTTACCATCAAAGGCATACCATAACCATGCTGACAAGGACATTAGGATATGTTTAAAAATGCATAAATAAGAAAAATATGTATAATACTTACAAAGGAGTATGTGTAGTTGGTAGAATTATGAGTGAAGAGCATTTGCATAATTAGGAAAAAATGATTCCTCTACCCTTCCTATGCTACCCTCTAGACAGTAATAAGAAGAGAAAAGCTGTGAAATAGAGGAAGTTGAGAGAAGGTTTGGAAGAAAGCTACTAGAGTGTCCATTCCAATAAACCAGTGATGACCTTAGGAACATTTCAGGTGCCTAATGTACACTAACATTTATATAAAGCAGCCCACCAAGTCCCCTAGCTTTAACCACAAAAGCTAAATCTGATGCTTACCACTTCGGTACTTTTATTATGAATATCAAATTTCAAAATTAGTAGAAAAGACATTTCCCTCAATTCTTTGATTAATTCCAGTGGGTTTTTGTGAAATACCCAAATTTCAAATGATCTTATCACACACAGTCCAATGGAGCACATTTCTTAAATTGATAAGGATTGTGGTGATGGATTCTGTCTAAACGTTGGGACAACTACAGCGCAAACGTG